GTACCGCCTCTGGCTACAAATTCCAGGTCTCGCACGGGGGTACAATGCGAACATATACATCACAGCAAATGTTCTTCAGACATCGCGTTCATCATATTCGTGGCCGTGCTACCCATGTCTCCTTGTGGAAGAGGAGAAAGAAAGAAGGACGAGAAAGAAAAGAAGGACCAGAAAGAAGAGAAACCAGTCGTCCTCAAGGATGCTTGGCTGGAAGTTGATCGACTGTCGGAAGAACAGATTCTCAGCAACATCTTCGAGGTCTATGAGAAGACTATTCCAGCCGACTGCTCTGTTGTGGAGAGGAAGCAGCGAATGGAACGCGCGCGCCGGTATTTTATCCCTATCATCACTTCTTGGGCCGTGCAAGACGTGGTTCAAGGAATGATCATGACGCCTGGCGATGTTGAAGATGATGATCCGAACAGCAGTGCGGGCGTGTTCCACCTTCCGCGAAACATGGCGTACGACCAACTCGCATCCGCCACCCGTAGTCTGGGGACCAGCCTGAGCGAAAATTATCCTCCTGCGATACCTGCGGTGCGCAGAGCGCTCTATACACCTCGCATAAAGCGGCAGCGGTGGAGAACTGTCTATGGGACTGTAGGTGTCCCCTTGAATATGGTGATGAATGTCAGACACGTCTGCATTGTTTTGCGTGACTGCACGGCAGGTGAGGGCCATTCTCCATTTCTATCATGCTGTCTAATGCTCTTCAGCGCTCATGCTATTGACGCTGGCCAAGTATCGACACAGAGACGTGAGCCTGTTCAATATGTACCTAGTCGGAGGGGACAGCCAAGAGCCTTCTGGAGCGCTGAGCGATGTTGAGTATGCGGCCGACTGGACCTCCCGTTCCGGGTTCCATACGATACGAACTGTGAGACTATGCGGAACCATCTGCTTGCATTCGGCTGCACGTTGCTAATGACGCTCTTAGGGCACCCCACTCTTCATGGCGACGGAAAAGGTTGTCTCTATGTGGTTGTACCTTCCCCAACGGCCTCCCCGACACAATGATATTGATACACATGAGCTCGTCCATCCACTCACCCAAATGCCTCTAACAAGATTCGAGCCACCTGAAGACCAAGCAGCCTCGCGAGAAAAAATACCAATACCGGAGTTCTGGGTGACCCCTTTGCACGATGCAGAAGACTTGTACTGGGTGGCCGTCTATAAGCTCTTGTACAGCGTGCCTGCGGCTCATGCAGTACCTGCCCCAAGGCAGGTCGAGGTCCGGAAGCTCTTGTTCGGGTTTGCAGACACAGCCTATCGCAAGGAGTTCATGCGTTTTGGTCGAGTGTCGGTACCCCTGAAGACTCCACCGAATGATGAGGAGATGGTACCTATCGCATTCTTATCGTGGTGGCTGGTCCTGAAGGACATTGGGGCAGTCATTGCGAAAGCCCATTATGACTATCAAACGGATTGGAACACCGACGTCTTCCACCTCAATCTAGAAAGAATCTGGCTGACTTTTGTCAAACTGGTCGGTGCGATGGTAACGGACCTAGAGATTGCGGATTATGCTGACCTCAAGGACGCGGCACCGATACAGCAATCGATACCGGGGAGTGAATCTCCCAATCAAGGCCGAGCGACGAAGAAACGCAAAACCAATAACGCATAGTTTTTGTGCTCCGTAAATACCCATGTAGAGATATACAGCTGTGACACCCATTGATGTATCGTACAATTGCTGCATCGAATGTAATAAAACAGATGAGGATGGTTGTATAACACGCCCTGTGTCTGATGGGACTCGACAAACATCTCGGTTCTCATTGGTAGAACCGCGTGCGCGCACGTGATAAACGCACAATTTGTTGCGTGGAGCTTTCACTAGTACTGTCACCCTCCTAGTCTCATGAGCTCTTCCCCAGCGCATAGATTCATCTTGCTTTAGTGAAGAACATCCATCTGATCAGGTTCTGCACACAAGGTCTCGTGTGCATCGGATACAATCTTGGGGGCCACAATTAATGCGGGTCTTAAGTAAAAGCCAGCCCCCAGGGTTGAGCATCACGTGGTCCATATCAGCACGTGTCGAATTGCCTTCGATAACCCGACAGACTCTCATTTTGCGCGACCATCGCTTGCTTTACCCTTCCACGCCCTGGTAACAAGCTATGGAGCCTTCTACATCACCCAAGAACGAGGAGCCCCAATCATCTATCCAGGATGCACCGTGTGGCCCATGGCCGACGTCCATGCCACTCTTCGAGGTGGGGAAATTCCAGGACCGCCAGCAGCTCCTCATGGTTGACATGGGCGACCGTATACCCCTGAAAACCAAATCCTATTGGCTGACATCTGTGTTACCAAAAGTCAACATTAATTCTGCGAGTGTGGACGAGGTACTTGATCAACTTGTGGAGTATGGGGTATACAATCTGCAGACCAAAACCTGGAAGGGTCTCCCCAATCCCCCTCGCAAGGATCCAAGATTAGAGCCGGCAGTCTACCACGGGCTTGTAGATATCTTCAACGAGATTTTGAAGTCCATCCCAGAAGAGATTATTGTAGCAATTTGTTCACCGAAAATTGCGACAAACACAGATGCAAAACCTTCGATGAAAACTCGGTCGACCTCTGCCGTAGAGTACAAAGCTAGACAATCCACCCTCCTCTATGTGCAGGAACCTCATACGATCACAAAAGGCGGCAATGAGATTGACAAGAATAACCCTGATGGTTGTCAGCTTACGTGTTCGTTGTCTTCCGCCAGCGCCCAGGAACCTGATCGAATCAGCTGGCGCCGTATCCGGGAGGTGCAGGAATTTAGAAAACATCGGGCCAAAGCATTCGAGGTTCTGCTTTTCATCTCAAGGAAATACACTTAAGACTAAACCTTGTTTTCCGTTTAGGCGCTGAAGCAGGTGATATGGGATCTACACGTTCTCCTCGATACCGATCTTACTAGGTGGGCTATGTATAGTTCGACGTTGGTGGACAACAGAATGCGATGCTACAAGATGTCAAGAAACGGCGTGGTGGGGTCAGAGGACATCGACATTACTGAGGTGCGCGGAGCTACAGAATCGCGTCGTATCTGGTCTAATACATTTCATTTGACAGGAGCCCCGATTTCTTATCGAATACGTTATCCGCATAGCGTACGCTCGCGAGGTGGATCTTGGAATGGATCCCACCATCGCTCGAGTGTCGTCCGAGTGCTATGACTTCAAAATACCGCTGGAAGGAAAAATGAAAACCTATACTTCGACGAAAATGTTGTTCAGACATCGACTCCATCATATCCGGGGTCGACCTACTCATGTTTTCCTCGCGGAGGATGATGAAAAGAACAAAATCGTCATCAAGGATGCTTGGCTCGAGGTTGATCGCTTGTCCGAAGAGACAATTTTGAACGTCTTTGATGCATAGAAGAAGACCTTGCCGGCCAATTACACCCAAGCGCAACAGAAAACGCAATTAGATTTCGTCAGGCAATATTTCATCCCCATTATTACCCCGTGGGCCGTGCAGGATGAAGAACGGTACATCGCTACGCCGGGAGATGTGGAAGACGACGACCCAGCACACAGTGCCGGTACGCTCAAGCTTCCTCAGGACATGGTCTACAATCAATTTGCCTCTGTCACTCGTAGCCAAGGCACAAGCCTCACCGACACCAATCCACCTTTGATTGTTACAGCCTGCAGAGCCTTCGATACCCCACGCATACAGCGTCAACGGTGGAGAGCAGTGTATGGCACTGTAGGTGTGCCGTTAGGCCAGGTAAAGAACGCGAGCCATGTCAATATTGTCTTGCGCGACTCTTCCACAGGTGAGGCACCGCAGAGGCTACCCCGTCCCGACAGAGCTCTGACATTCTTCAGCACTCAACCTGCTCATGCTTGCCCAGTACCGACACCGAGATATCAGTCTTTACAACATGTACTTGGTATTGAAGGAGGGATGCGAGCCGTCCGGAGCTCTCAGTGACCTAGAATATGCGACAGATTGGTCTGATTCTGCGTCTCACACAGCTCGAACTGTGAGAATGTTCGTATTCATCTGTGTGCGCATCCCTAACAGCGCATACTAGGGAACCTTGCTTTACATGTCTTCAGAGAGGCTCGTGTCTGAATGGATGTACCTTCCCACGACAGACGATGGGGCACAAATAACTTGCAGTCGACTCAGCCCCCTTATCCTTGAGGGACAACAAACCCCTGGTGCACCAGAGTCCCAGACTCCAGAGCAGCCGGCACCCCCTTTCCGAGGCACCCCTCTCCATGACGTCGAGGAGATGTTCTGGGTCGCTGTCTACAAGCTCCTTCATAGCGTGCCCGCTAGTGATCCCGTTCCTGCGCCGTGGCAGGTCGAAGTCCGGAATCTGCTGTTTCAGCTCAGAGATGACACCGCTGTACGCCGGCAGACCTTTTTGAAGCAGGGAAGAGTGTCAGAGCCCGGGCGCGCAAAGCCCTCAAACGAGGACATGGTCCCAGCGCCATTCTTCACATGGCTCAAGGTAGGAATTGGGACAGTAGCATATTCTACAAGACTGGCGAGAAGTCTTATTCCCATTACGCTGCCCTGGTCGAAAGTCTTCCATCGGACCTCGACATTCTTGATCACTGCGAGCCTGAGGACGATACGGTTACCATACCGAGGGCAGAATTAACGATAAGCGAAAGTGGATATTCTAGGGGAGGGGGAGGGACGAAGAACCGGAAGACCAAGTCCATGACTGATACGGAATGAGGTTGCACTTGCGGCGATACCATTGTACTCTACCCAACCATGCGGCATTCTGCGATGTGACATTATTGTACTTGTGTTCAATGTGATACGTACAGTGACAAGGAAAGAAAGAAATGCGAGTGACGGGCGGTGGTCGAGGCTCTTAGCACTCTGTCCTTACATAGAGTTACACTTTTCAAGGAGACTCAAGGCATTCTCTTATTTCCAACTGTTACAGTCCAAGAAAGCGGCCGATCTTACTCCTCAAGGTTGTGCACCTCTGGTCACTCCGCAAAAATACGACTCCAACCGGCAGTTGGTTCCAAGTGTCTCTCATCTGTGTTGCCTCTGTCGCCTGGCCGATACAGATGCAGTACCGAGTCCTCCGCAGCTCCAAACCTCGGCATTTTTCATACTGTGCGCAGGACTGTAACGGAACGGAGGATAAGTGCGTAGATCAAACAGGTGGGATATCCCAAGCAAGAAGGGGTTCGCCAAAAGATCATAGTACGATCAACGAGCGCGTTCACCTGCTACTTGTAGTCCCCTATTCTAACCCCCTCTGTGTACCTCTTCAGACCCAAGTCCTATAACCCGAGCAAAGACGTCTTCCTCTTCCGCCCACCTCACTCTCCCTTTGGCTTTCCCTTTCCCTTTCCCTGTCCCCAGCCCCGGGCTCTTAGGCCCAACTTCCTCACTCAGATCCCCCAGCTCCGGATCCTCACCTGCCTCCCCCGTGCATGCCTCCCCCAAAACGCCAAACAGCGCCTGAACCTCCATGTCCGGCCGCTTCCTGCTCCCCGAGGTATGGGCAGGGGAGGGAAGAGGGGTAGGAAGCCTCCATTTGCGCATCGGGTCCTGCGCTTGGGCTTGGGCTTCTTGGGCTTTGCGAAGGGCGCGACGGTCTGCGGGGGGAAGAGGGGTTAGAACGCGTGGAATGCGACGAAGGTAAGAGGGGAGGGATGGCAGCGGGGAGGGAGGAGTCCGTCCCAGGAAGCAACGTCGAGCGAGAAGCAAAACACGAGAGGCAAAAATCCTAGCAAGCAAGTAAGACTCACCACTCTTCTCCCTAGCCTTCCTCCAACCTGCCAACGCCCGCTCGTCGCACAACAACGTCCTCGCCTTCTCTTCTTGCTCCCTCCATTCCTCGTGCAGGCCAGTAGCTTCCCGCATCACCTCTTGTTTGGATTTGCTCCACCCCGAGGAGGAAGACGAGAGGTGCACGGGGAAAGTGGCGGAGGGGTCGGAGGGGTCAGAGGGGTCGGAGATAGGGATCCCGTCTATGAGCGAACCTACGAGCTGGAGCGAGCGAAGCCGGGCTTGCACTTGAACTCGGGCGAGGGACTGTTTTTCTTCTGGGGTGAGTGGGCTGGGAGGGGATAGGACGAGCATGGGCGATAAGGCTGGGACTGCTGCTGGTGCTAATGCTGATGTTGAGGGTGAAGCTGGTACGACGGAGGAGGTTGAGGTTGAGGGCAGGAAGTTGGCTGAGGTGGGCTCGGGAGGGGCAGAGGAAGGGAAAGGCGAGGGCGAAGGCGCAATCGCCGAGCGCGGACGAAGCAGATGCAGAGGGACGTCGAACCCCTCGCTCAAACCAAGTTCTTTTCCCCACTCTCCTCCTCCCTCCTCCTGTAAGATCTTTTGCCTCATTTGTTGTTCCCACCCTTCCCCTTCCCCCAGCTCGTCCAACCCCAACCCCATCCCCATCCCCAGCTCCAGCTCCTCCCCCTCCTCCCCAGTCGGCAGCCTCCTAACCCGCACACTCACCCCCTCCTCCCTCCTCGCCCTCCTCCTCCACCTCCTCAACACCCTCGCATCCGCCTTATCCCCCACCTGTCCGATATGCACAAACTGCGTTCTCCTCTCCTGGGTGCCGTCCGGCAGAGGGTGGAGGAAGGAACACGAGGCTTGTTTTATCCCTGCGGCATGGAGGGTTGCTGGGTCTAGCGGTCCCAGTTCCGGATCAGCGGGGTCGGAAGGGGAGGCGGAAGGGGGGAAAGCGGCTTCTTCAAGGGAGAGCATCTCTTCGGAACACAGATCCTCCCCTATCCAAGGCTGGCCATCCCAGTCCACCTCCCTCCCGAGGGCATGCAGCCTCTCCCCCTCCCAGCGGAGGACGTCCTCCACCCCTACCCTCTGTTCCAGCAGCAGCCTCGCCAGTGCAAGCCGGCACCTCACATGCCCCCTCCTCGCCCCGTACAGCAGGTACTTCCCCGCAGCGCCGTCGTCTGCCTCTACCCCTACGCGGGAGAAATGCTGCCCCCGGGTTCTGCCGACCGGGCGGTAGAAGTACAGTGCTGCTCTGTAGGCGCAGAAGGAGGAGAAGGGGGCGCCCCGCTGGGCGTACAGGAGAGAGGAGGGGATGTCGAGCGGGAGGAGGCGGGCGGGTCCTCGCTGAAAACCGAGATGGTGAGTGAGTTTCTTGAGCGCGTGGACAGAGCCTGGGCTGGGTTAACTCGAAGGTGCGTAGGAGAGGGGGAGGGCGTACCGAGTTTTTCTGCACGCTCCCACCAGGTCTTTGCTTGCTGTCCCGAACGTGGGACTAGCCCGCCCTGAGCGTACAAGTCCCCTGCGAAGTTTGCGCATAGGGCTACACCTTTCTCCCACCCTCTGTCGATGGCGGAGAGACATTCTTCCCTCAGCTTGGCCATCTGGGAACGGCGTTCGTGCTCGTGCGGTGACGATGGGAGAGCGCGAAGATGTAGCCAGTGAGCATAGGCGTGCAGTGCTTTGAGGAACAAGACAGGCCAGTACTGCGCATCCTCTAGCCTTGAGAGGAGGGCGTCAAACTCTGATTGAGAGATGTTGAGCCGCTTATCTGCGAGAAGACGAAACCCTGCTTGTGGGATTGAGTCATGTGCATTTGGTGGACCGAGTGCGAATGTGAGTAATCGACGGGTGAGGAGAGGATCACCTGATTGGGTGTGAGTGGGAAGTGTTAGTGGGTGAAGTGTACTCACGCTCTGATTTTGGGATGAGAATACATAAACGGAAAGCGGATTCTCTTGGTGGGAGAGCAGTAGAAGTGAGGACTGACAACGTGAGTTCAGTGCATTAGAGGAGAAGGATGAACGCACGATTGTATAATCTATCATCATCGAATACGTCATCCCTCGCAAGTGAGACAACCATTCTCACACTGAGCGCATCTAGTCCAGTCACTTGCTCGATCTTGTCATATCCTTCTTGGTCAATTCCTTCAAGGGGCGAAGGGCGCTGAGGGAAAACATCGGAGATACGGAAAGGTGCTTGACGGGGATACCTCTGTGCGTTGTGGGTATGGAGTGCACGTGTACACAAGGAAGGTGAGGCTAGACTGGGATGCAGTAAAGAGAGACAATGACGACATAATACCGTCACTCGTCGTAGCATCCTACTTCATACACAGTCGCGATCGAAAGGTTGTAATAACGCTCGGCATTCTTCGTTGTGTTCAAAAACCCTAGTGGCTGTGCACAAAAATTCAAACTTTTGACCGGTGAGCGCTCATCACACAACTCCCTTCTTTCACTCCTACCACCATGGGTAAAATTCAACGCAAAGGGAAGACAGGTGCATCAAAGACCTACATAACCCGCACTCACGCAGTCCGAAAACTCCAGCTCTCCCTGGGCGATTTCCGCAGGTTATGCATCCTCAAAGGGCTCTACCCCGTCGAGCCCCCTTCGCGGAAAAAGGCAAACAAGGGGAGCACAGCACCGACCACGTTCTACTACACGAAGGATATCGCTTACCTTGCTCATGAACCGGTGCTGAGCAAGTTGAGGCAGCATAAGGCGTTTGCGAAGAAACTTGCTAGGGCGATCGGGAGGAGCGAATGGGCGGACGCGAAGAGCCTCGAGCAGAGGGAACCAAAGTACAAGCTGGATCATATAATCAAAGAACGGTGCGCACTTTCTCTCCCGCTCTTCCGGCTGTTGCCTTACATATGACAGGTACCCAACGTTTATCGACGCAGTGAGGGACATAGACGACGCGCTCTGTCTCGTACACCTCTTTTCCACCCTTCCATCAAACGACAAGCTCGACCCAAAGCTCATCGCCCACTGTGCGCGGCTCAGCGCTGAATGGCAGCTCTACGTCATGCGCGCACACGCACTGCGCAAGGTCTTCCTCAGCATCAAGGGTGTGTACTTCCAAGCAGAGGTCATGGGTCAGCCCGTGACGTGGCTTGTGCCGTATATGTTTACCCAGCAGGTGCGAGCTCCTCTGCTCCATCCATTTGAGGGGGAGAAGCTCATAGGCCCAGGTCCCGGCAGACGTAGACTTCAGGGTCATGCTCACTTTCCTAGAACTGTACCAGACGCTACTCGGTTTCGTCCTCTTCAAGCTCTACAGCACGCTCAACCTCGTCTACCCTCCTCCGCTAGACGAGGCGAAGGACGAGCTCGCAGCTGGGGTAGGCGCGTACGTGTTGAAGGAGGCCGGGGAGCTGGACCTGGGGAAAGAGCAGGTTGCGGAGGGGGTCGAGAAGGTTCGAGAGGGGGATGTGAGGAGGGCTTTGGAGGGGATCCCGATCCCTACTGAGGCTGAGGAAATCGAGGAAGTGCCTCCCCAGACGGAGGGGGAAGCGAAAGACGAGCCAGACGAGCCAAAAGAGCTACCTTCCAAGCTCGCACCCGCCGAAGACTCCGCCCCCGAGCCCGCCCCAACCCCAGAACGGGTAAACACCTCCCTCTTCTCCCCCTTCGTCATCTACATCTCCAGGGAAGTGACTCGCCCGGTATTCGAGTTCGTCCTCCGCTCCTTCGGGGCCCGAGTCGGCTGGGCTCCCTCGCTCGGCTCCGGCTCCCCTTACTCGCTGGAAGACCCGCGGATTACCCATGTGCTGCTCGATAGGCCACAGGTGCCCCTGGGCTGGGTTAGGGAAGGGAGGAGGTATGTCCAGCCTCAGTGGGTGGTGGATTGTGTGAACTCGGGAAGGGTCGTTCCGGAGGGAGCGTATGCTATGGGCGAGGTGCTGCCGCCGCATTTGAGCCCTTTTGTACAGGAAGTGCCGGGTGGGGTTGTCGATGCAGAGGGAGGGGAAGAGGAAATGGACGACGACGACGAGGAGGAGGCAGCAGAAGACATAGAAGATGCAGAAGCAGACGAAGAAGAACCAGAAGAAGCCTCCCCAACCGCAAAGCCCAAGTCCACCAAGCCCAAACTCGCCGACCTCCCCGCGCTCCTCGCCTCCGCCTCAGACCCATCGGACCCTTCCCTCCTGCGCGCCGCCGAGCTCGAAGCCGAGTCCCTTTCCCTCTCCCACGCCGAGTTCCAGGCGTTGCTCAAACAAGCCATCAAGCGGGCTAACGCTTCCCCCCGCGCACAGCTGAAGAAGCAGGACGCAGAGGCGGAGGAGGAGAGGGGGAAGATGTTGATGAGTCGGAAGAAGAGGCAGTTGTATGAGAAGATGAAGTTTGGGAACGAGCGGAAACGGGAGGGGGAGAGGAAGTTGCAGAGGAAGAGGGAGGCGTTGAGGAGGGAGGGGAAGTAGATAGGGTTGCTGTCGTGTTTTGTTTTGTTTTGCTTTTTTTGAGTATAGTAATGATATCCTTTGGGTGTTTGTTTGGTTCTTGGTGTTCGTATGAGTCGGAAAACACCAATTGTTCAGCTTTGCCCCGCTGGGAGGTCTTTATTCCCCATGCTGCCAAGACCGCTTCTTTGCGAAAAGTTGGGGGCCGTCGAGATGTCCAGAAGGGTTATGGGACGTCATTTTCAATGCACGTGATGTTCAAGTGATATAAGCTCGGGTTGAGTCGATTGAAGCCGTAACCTTGGCGTTCCGATCCATCCTATATAACGACCAGGATTGGTTGTACCGGATGCCATCATTCTTCAGCGGGACCACTGTTCTAATATCTCTGACCACTTCTATCACAAACTCTTACTGCTGAGTACACAACCATGCTAGACGTTACCATTAACACGACGTCTGTTGAAGGCCAGATCATTGCTGCTCTCAAGCAGTCCGTCGACCTCCGCTACGACTATACAGCCGAACTTCATGCCCTGAACCCAACCCGCTCCTCGTTGACCGAACTGCAACCTCCGATCATGGCTCGTTTAGAAAAATCATGGAAAGACGCAGGCCAGACTGCGGGGGTGACGGACGACGTTTCCCTACGCAAACGGTTGGAGTTCTGGGATCAAGTCGTGCGAATTGGGGCAGGCGAGCCACCAAACAGCGCTGGATTGTGGGTCAGAACAACTTGCTGCAGTTGAATATCCCCGCTAACTGTATGTCAAAGCTGTTGTGCTGCTATTTTGGCGCTTACAAACTATGAATCTGTTATCTATGGGCTGCTCCTACGGCACTTTCCTGAGGAATCGCGTCTTACGGTATTCAAAGCAAGAAGTCAACATTAGTTGGTCCATTTGTTCTCGCAGTGGATGAATCTGAATCACATCACAGAAAGATGCGATTCCTCACTTTTGGCGACAGGAGCCGTAGTGATCCTGAGCCGTTCCACCAGGAGGAACCCGAACCAGTCCAGGGGAGTACGTTGGTTGGAGAGGAAGTGCAGCTTACGCACTGGTTTGCCCCCGATGGCACAGTCATCCCCAGCATGGTCACTGTCAAAGTGTGTGACTATGGCGATAGTGTGATGCGTGGAAGTTGGTATTCTGCATGCAATACTGGAAAATGTGGAGAGATGCATGAAGTTACGAGAGATTTGTTCGAGGAATGGATAATCCCCTCTTGTTAGTCACGTGGACATGATAACCTTTGATATAATGGTGATGCTTAATGAAAAGGGCAGGATTCCAGCGAACAACCTGTGTACCATATACTGCCTTATGCGATTGAAAAGTCCAGAAAACAAATGGCAACACTATGGACGGACAAAGGAACCTTTGCCAATTCAGTGAATTAGTATATATGGGCATATGGTAACGTCGCACCTGCGCACCACCAATCCTCCCACCCTGCCAGCAGTACCCGGTATGAGATGGGCGGCTAGTGATAACTCTCCAAAGAGAAACCCCAGCACCGGATGGAGGAGTGAACACCACCCTCTTCGCCCGTGCTAGCCTTCGAGTTCCTCCTTCGCTCCTTCCACCGGAGGCAACCAGGTGGGTGCCCTCCTCCCGCTCCGGCTGCCCTCACACACTAGAATACCGGGGCGACAGGGTCCGGATACACCACCTGAAGGTTCCCCAGGACTGGGTAAGTAATGGGAGGAGGTATATCCAGTCGCAGTCGGTGGTGGACAAGGCCAATCTGGGGTGTCCGATGGTGCCGCAGCATGCATGGGCAAGGTATTCCTGTCGCATTTGAGCCCATTTGTACAGGAGGACGTTGTGCCGTATGAGGGAGAGATGGATGAGGACGAAGATGTGGGAGAGGACGAAGAAGAACACGTACCTGAGCCGAACGCACCGAAGTCCAAGCCAAAGCCAAAAATGAACAACCTCCCCGGTCTCGTCGCTTTCGGTTCGGACCCGTCTGAACCCCGCCTCCTCGGCGCCCTGAAATCCAAGCCGAGTCGCTCTCGCTCTCTCAGCCCGAGTTTCGTCGATTCCCGAAGCAGACGCAGAGGAGGGAGGGAGGGAGGGAGACGGTTAGCAAGGAGGAGGGAGGCATTGAGGACACAGAGGTAGGGTAGTAGGGTTTGGTACAGTTATGACATTGGTTATTTTCGTGACTGATCGTTGCGGTTCATCACCAAGTCCTGCCTGGCATCATGAAGTTGCAGATGTTATCGTCGCGTGTTCACGTGAGAGCGCAACGGGCGCTTATCTCTGTGCTTCTGCGGCGCCACTGACCTATCAATTGGTCTTCGTCTTTTCTCAGTCGAGATCCTCCCTGTGTGGAAGGGGAATGTCCTGCGGGCATGTCACCAAACTGTGCTGAATTGTGCATCATAACCCTCCCTGTACATATATATTCCCACTGACTAAATAACAAGCTACTGCACTTCTATTCTCGCGGTTACAAATATCGGGTTGCTTATCTACAGTATGCGCTCCTTGCTTATGCACTGGGTTGCCCCCGGATGGGACAATCATGCCTAGGTCACGGTCACGGTATGTGACTACGGCGATAGTGTCATGCGTGGAGGGTGGTATACTGTAGACAAAAATGGAGAGATTCGTGACATCACCAAAGATATTTTTGAGGATTGGATAGTACTGGTGTAGGTTCCTCTTGGTCAATGGCAATTGTGTACATATTTGTCCTCTCGTGAACCAATTAGGTCACTGCTGTTGGTGATGCATTCTGCACAGCCACTACCGCACAGCCAATTTCAGGCGGCTGCAGACACGCGAATTGCAATGTATGCCAGTACTCGCTCAATATGGTCGATCAATCTAGAACTGAAGAGCCACACAAAGCGAGGCAATAGAGACCGAAGGACACAGGTCTACAGACTGCGGACATGGGCACAGAACCTGCAATGACGGTCGCTGGGAGACCGTTTCGTTTCGTTGTGCTGCGTTCTGCTTGTTGTCCGTCGGTGGTTGGATATCGTCCCTCGCCGCTTAACTTTATGCCACTGGAATTCGACACGATGATTTGCAGCGAGATTTTTGGATTAGACAGGACAACGAACGGGAAAGGAGTGGTGGAGGAAGAAGAAGAAGAAGAGACCGATACTGAGAAAGCATCACGCATGTCAGTGACTTCCCTTCCGGTTTATGCAAGCAAGCTACAATCAGATAAGTCTAATAACAGTCATCTAGGGGTACACGCAAATGTCCACGACTTTATGTACAACGGATGAAAAACAGCCAGATACAGACTCCGACCCCACAGAGTGTATATCGCCTAGGCGGAGCTACTGCCCTCTGTCACCGCCGTGACGATGGTCTTCGTCAATTCGCACACCATGTCAACCTCGAATACCTTGCAGGGCTCGGATGTGTTTTCGCTGTTCTTGTTAGAATCTGTTGCAGTGCCGACTGTTTCGAGAGAAACCTCTGCCGTTGACGCACTCCTGACCGTCGACGCTGTATCCACTGTGCTTCTGTCTGCCATCTCCCAGTGGGACTCATTCGCCGGAAACGTATTGGAATCTGAGGCTTCGCATGATGAGCAGAGTCTGTTTCTAGAGATATGCGGACGACGCACCGCAAGGCCGCTGAGGAACTTGCTCCGCGGTTCTAGGGCGAAGACGATCTCGCAAAGAAGTAAGTGCCCTCCATTCGCGGGCCTCATTGAGCATTTTCTGCGTTGCTTGCAGGATCTTTGATTGATTCAGTCCTCTTGCTGACGCAAAGCCAGAAAGGGATTCCGTACTTTGATCCTATCACTGAGGGATTGGAGCTTCTTCTTGCCCCATAACAATCGCAAGCTGGTCAACACCCCTCTGGATTTGCCACGTCCTGCAATTGTAGCAAGGTCTTCCACAGTGCTGACTACACTTTAGGCCACACGCGGAGAGGAGCACGGCGCACATACTTGGCGGCCTCCGTGAGGCAAGCATTGACATCTGCTTTCGGAACGCCCACCTCCTCTGCATCCTCTGCTGTACTTCTCAGGCCCTGTACCAAAGCACTGCAGTCCGATTGGATGACAGTCGGTCTTGCGTGAGTATATGCCTCGTGAATTGCGTGTATGGTACCCTTTACGAGCGGGACTGCCACATCTGTCACCAAGGCGTTCGGGACAGGACTTTCGAAAAGTGCCATGACTGATCAAGAAGAGGGACTGAGTTGGCAGGGACGGTGACTAGATTGCAAAGAGTTTGTTCAGCATCAACATACGTCTTTATTGACTCGGACGGACGACTGAATTGCAAATGCCTGGCTGCCTCATGTTGTCGACTTCTGCACAGCCTTCAACCAGAACATGTGGTTACCAGGCGCCGGAAGGACACCTATTGAGGTTCAACTCCCACAACGCATCACTCTATCCTATTACACCCTCTACATGCTCGTCAACCTAACAATGAAAAAACAATCTCCCGTTAGGCAAGATGCAACAGGAGACCCAAGTGCCTCGGAACCGCCAGTCGACCTGTATGTGCCGCCTTATGGACGTACCGAGGCAGAACTCAACTGGTCCGACGTTCAACCGTTCCTGCAGAGTCGTGGATACATGTTACGACCTCGATATCATCCGGGTTGGGTAGGATCATGGGTCGGAACGAAGAAGAAACCGGAGACGTGCGAGGACAGCATCGGAATCAGTGTGCGTCTTGTCAGGTTCCATTTTTCCGCCTCATGCTGAGCGATATCACAGGAGCATGGCGTTGTGATAGATGCGATACGAATGCGAGATGGAGCACCAGTTCTCCTCAAGATTTGGTCGTCGACGTCCGCGCAAGATGGGAATGAATTGGCAGTCCTCCAGTATTTCTCTGATCCTGCACACTCGGGCGATCCCGACAATCGCTGTGTCCCGCTGCTTGACACGATAGACATGATGGAGTCGAGAAAAAACGGGGTTGATTACGTATTAGTGGAACCAATGCTTTGCACGTGGGAGGATCGGCCCTTCCTGATAATGGCAGAAGCATTGTCATTCATCCGTCAGGCGTTCGAGGTGGGTGGCGATGCTTTCGTTGCGAACCCGATTTTTGAGCGCTTGCTTCAGGGCCTGGCATACATGCACTCTCACAACGTTTTTCATGGGTATGTTCAGGCATTCTTCGTCATTCTCCCTCAGTTGCTGAACTTGACATATTTTCAGAGATATACACCCGGGTAACATCATGATGGACGCGAAGAACGTGTTTCCGAAAGGCATTCCTGGGCCGTACAACTTCCATCCGGACCATCCCCTCATGATGAAACAAGCGAAACGGCTCAGTACGATGCAGGCGCCGCCAAAATACTATTACATTGACTTTGGCTCGAGTACTATGTTCCCCAGCTATGAGGAGAGAAAGCTTGTCAAGTTCAACGCGGCGGCGTTCATACCACCTGAGTGCAAGAATGACGCCGATGCACTGTATGACGGATTCAAGGCAGACATATTGCAACTTGGAGCTACCATCACGATTCTAATAAGGGCATGCGGTTATGTTCTGATAGCGTACATACCGCGACTGACCCAAGCACACAGGACCGACCAGAACTTAACTGGGTCATATATGCGCTCCTTTCGCGCATGATGAAGAGAGATCCAGAAGAGCGTCCACCGATCGAGGCGTTGGCCACAGCCTTTCGGGAAGTTCTGCGGGGTTTGCCTAACCGAAAGATGCGGCGAAGATTGAGCTGGACCAAAGAAGCTAGCCCACCATTTCTACTGAAAGTTCGATATTGGTTCGAGTATCTTGGGCTATGGTGGCAGTCTTTCCGCTACGGTCTCCCTGACGATATTCTGCTCGACGACCCGAGCGAATTAACCCCGACCCGTCCGACCCGTCGGCAAGCTGCGAAGCACCGCTGACCGGAAGCGAGACAGAGATTAGGCTGTATCAAAGAAACTCGCTTTGGAAGCTCTGCAAGCCCGACATCGAATGTAGACTCTCTTAGGGTGCGTCAACACGGCTACACAGGCACACGTCATCACCGTGATAAACCCACCGGAAGTCCCATAATATGGACAACATCATTGTTATTATTTATTGATGAGAGTACTCGTGTGCCTGCCATATATTGTACATCAGACTCGCCATGAAATGCAATTCAAGACTCCTGTGATCCATCCGAGTGGGTTTTATGTTGCCAGCCTTCGAGTTCATCCTCCGCTCTTTCCACCAGAGGCAGCCGGGTGATTGCCCTCCCTCCACTCCGGCTCCCCTCACATGCTAGAAGACCGTTGCAACATCCTCCGGATAGGTCATCCGAAGGTTCCTTAGGACTGGGCAAGGGGATGGAGTACGTCAAGCCCCAGTCGGTGGTGGACAAGGCCAATCTGGGAAAAGGGTGCCCAACGGTGCCGTATGCCATGCATGGGCAAGGTGCTCCTGTCGCATTTGAGCCCATTTGTACAGGAGGTTGTTGTGATTTCTGAGAGAGAGATGAATGAGAACGAAGATGCGGGAGAGGACGAAGAGGAAGAACACGTACCTGAGCCGAACACACCGAAGTCCAAGCCGAAGCCAAAAATGGACAACCTCCCCGGTCTCGTCGCCTCCGGTTCGGACACATCAAACCCCGCATCCTCCGCACCCCGAAATCGAAGTAGCGTCGCTCTCGCTCTCTCACGCCGAGTTTCGTCCATTCCCCAAGCAGACGCAGAGGAGGGAGGGAAGGAGGGAGGAAGACGGTTAACGAGGAAGAGGGAGGCATTGAGGAGACAGGGAACACAGCATTCCTAGAGAGGGCTTCTGGTTCAGGGTTGCTGGGTTCCAATGCTGGCAGGGGCAAATGACCCATGGCAGTGGGCTGCAGTGTGCTGGTGGGCTGCAGCATGATAGTGGGCTGCAGCAGGGACAGGGGCTGCAGCATCAGTAGCTCCTGCCTGGAACCAGGCTGCACCTGGGTGTGCTCAACAGAGGCAGCCCATGGGATATAGCCAGGTGGGAGTTCAAAGTAAATGGGAAGATTGTCTGGGAGAGATGACAGTGAGATGGTCTGATAATAACTCTCCTTCACCAAGGTGAGTGTCCTGGTCACACATCAGACAGTTTCCTCAAAATCCAGGGAAAATGACTTACTTCATGTATGACTGGAGATCTACAGCTTTCTGCCATCTGCCAGGCCATGTGTCAATATCAAAGAAAGTGGCAGCACCAGTGGACAAGATGAAACATGCATATTGGGGGCCATCTTGCAAATTCTGAGAGACCAAAAAAATGACTTTGTCAATCCCAAACTGTTCCATCTGAGAAATCTCCAACTGTTCAGCATGAGCATAATTGTTAAATTGCATATGATGTGCTGCCGCAGCACGTCCTGCATTATCAGGCACTGAGAGGTCCTTGTTTTGGCCTGAAACCAGCACTGCATGTGAATGGAGAACATTGCACAGCTGTGGCCAGAGTGCTGACATTGGCAGACAATGCTCCTTCAAGTGTGCCCATTCACTCTTCACCCAGGGACCATCCCAGTCTGGGTGCTGTTCTGTGCAGCAGGCTTGCCAGTCATTCCAAGCATTGAAACTCTTTGAGAAATGGGTAGCTGCAGCAGCACAAATATCATGCAGCAGGGCATCAGCAAGACGTGTTGGGGTTGTGCTGTAGTGGTGCTTCAGGAAGTTGGAGAGCTTGGTGACAGTGGAGGTGAATAAGGACAAGTCCTCCACCTCCTGGAGAGATGGACATCCTGGCTCAGTTGTCTTGTGCACAACAAACTCTGCCCCTTCCTGTGCCAGCCTCTGTTTCACAGCAAGGAGACATTCATGCAGATCGTCTAATGCAGGCAGTGGTGGATGGGACTGAATGCAGATAGCTGGCACTTTGGTCCCTTGAGGAGGTGCAGCAGCTGACTGCCAAATTGTCTCCCATATGGAGTCCACAGCTGAGGCAGTCATGGGTGACACTGTTGTGGGCAGGCTAGTATGTGGGCTACCAGATGCATTGCAATGCATTGTTACAAGCACAAGGGTGTTTGTCAGAGTGGAGGCAATCACATCTTGGTCAGGTCAAGTGACAGCAAGTGGAGCAATAGCCACAAGAGTGGCTGCAGCAGCATGTACAGTGGTTGCAGCAGAAGCTGCAGTACCAGAATTTGCAGCAGACAGCAGTGCAGTAGTGGCAGGGGTAGAAGCAGCAGCAGCGTCTGCAGCGCTTATAGAAACAGCATGCTGATTGAGGTACCCAAGTGTGTTGAACAGAGCTGTCTCCAGCTCTGTGTCTCAGGAATTCTGGGTGTCCAACAGGTCAACCTCCTGAGATGAAGTTGCATGAACTGAGTAACTGTTTGCCAACATTTCATCCTTCTCAATCTCATTGATTTCAATTTCCTTGTTGGGTACTTCTTCCTCCTGCTCCATACCATCAAGCTCATGAGCTTCTCCAAACTGCATTTCATCCAGGTCTACTTCATTGATTTCATATTGCGGGGCTGGGGTGGCAGTCCTGCTCTGCAGCATTTCGAGAGTTGGTCCCTGCAGTTGCAGCATTGAGGGGCCATCTTCATGTTACAGACTGTTGTCCAGCCACGACTGCTCAATAGCCTTCCCTCAGTCTGTAGCAGCAAACCTGTGTCTGTTTCTTTGGTGGGAGCAGACACAGTGGCAGTCAGGAGGCAAGTGGTACCATCCCCCCCTCCTTTGGACATGGGCAGTTGCTGAGGTGGCTCAAAATATGACATGTGCAATTCTGGGGGCAACTGCTGAGGTTCCAGCTGTGGATCCTGATGCAGCTGCGGCTGCAGCTGCATCTCATCTGTGGGTTTGTATTTGTCTTTATGCAGGGGTTGGTCCAGGCATGCTCCAGCCTCCATACTGCTATGCTGCACCTCTTCCATGGCATCCAGCCATCCCTCTAGCCTCATGCCAACCTCTGCTTCCTCACCATCCTCAGGATGCAATGCCAGCTGCGTCTCAACCTCATCCCATGCATCTTTGTCTGTCATGACCAAAGGTGGCATGGGGCGTGCTTAGGGGGCTGAGGTGGACGGTGTGGGTTCATCTGTGCTGGCACCTTGCACCTTCTTTCTGTGAGAATGCATTGTACATGGTGCAACCACCTCCTCCATATCTTTGCAAGTTCTTCTGTGAGGAGTGTCAGTCAGAGTCAGGGTGAAGCCAGTCAACCTGAGGGGCATACATTTCTGGGGGCCATTTCTGTGAAAGTCTGCAGCATATCTGTCCCAAAAATGTGTGCCTTTATACCTTTCTTTTCCAACCCGGAGTACACTAGCATAGTCAGGCCAGGTTGGTTGCCACTGTTGGCCTTGACACATGTCTGGTCTTTGTTTGGCCCTTGCAACCATGCACACTGCAGCACCAATGGAAGCAAAGAATGCATAGTGGTCTATCACATGGTAATTCATTTTCATTGGTTGCAGCAGCAACAGTTCTGCTGCAAGCCCAGACTGGAAGCAAAGAACAAACAGTACCTTTGATGTGTCTCCATCCTACCATTGGCTGCATTAAGTGCTGCAGCAGAGGCAGAGGCAGAGAAGTCCCCTCTAATGCTGCAAGCCTTAGCTGTGGTGTTGGGCCTCAACTGTCATGCAGAAACAGACCACCATCAACAGTGGCTGCTACCACCTCAGCCTTTCCCCTCTTGACCTGCAATGGCACAAGACAGCAAACCAGATTGCAATCATCCACTGTATGACACTGAGCTCAATGCATGAATCCAAAGCTTCTCTGAATGTATGCTCACCCCCAGTGGTGAAATTGACAAGACACATGAGGCAAATTGGCCATTTGAAATGCAGTTGTGGGGGTGGTACTTTGACACTGGTCAAACACTATGTTTCCACCTGAAGCCAGTGTTTCAAGTGGAATCAACCTTATGTAAGTGATGTTCCAGCCATTGCTGCACCCAGCCTAACCTCGCATAGCTTGTCTCTGGTGGGGACAACTGTTTGACTGTGGTTATCATGGTAAGACCATGTCTGAAAACCATTCCATATTTGCTTACTTGTGATGTAGACAAAGTTCACACACTGGAAAACTGTAGATCCCGCTGTATTCCCCTCAAATTCCCATCTTGCATCCTTCTCTATCCACTGGGACAATGCCCTGATTACTGCCCACCAGATGCATATATAGTCTCTGCTATGCTCATGGTGCCTGATCACAAAGGACAGCCTCACAATCATGCTACTGACGTCATATTGCCCATCCTGCCTGTCCAGCCATTGGAGCCCTCCCAGATGCGGCAGCCCATCCAGATGCTGCAGCCCCACCGGACATTGCAGCTCCAACAGGCACTGCAGCTGAAGCCCCCACAGCAGCCTTTCATGCAAGATTCAAACAATGGGAAAGCACTTTCCTGTATACCGGAAGAACATTAGCAGCAAGGTGGGCTACATGGTTCCTTCCTTGACAGCTCTGAGAACGAGTATGAGGAGTCAACACTGAGACAGGGAAATAGAGCTTTCTGTGAGGGCAGATTACCTGTGCTCCACAGCTTCCTCTCACTGCAGTCTCAGTCAAGGCAGCCATGGTCACCTGGATGCAGAACCTCAATACCTGGCAGCACCAGTTTGGAGAGCCAGTCCACACAGCACCTTCAACAAAGGGAGCTGCATCTTGAAACTTGGCATGCCGGTCCTCCTTTGCTGGTTCAGCCTGAGCTGGCACCGTCCGGCCAGCAGCAACAACTTGAACAACAACAGGCTGCTGCTCCCACAATCATGCTGTTTGGAATGATGCAATGACTTGCTACAGATGATGCAAACAAGGAGGATCAGTTGTCAGATCAAGCTGACAGAAACACATTGCATGCTGCACATGGCATACTGCAACACATGGGACACAACAAGCCTCTCCATGAACTGCATCCCCAACATGGGAAACAACAACTCAATTCTGAGGGACAGCAACAGCATGAAGAGGAGCTGCAACTGCCCTTGCTGCATGAGGCTATACAGCTGGAGGACGAGCTGCAGGACCCGATACAACAGCATATGCAGCAGCCAGCAGAGAAATTGATGGAATTCCTCCAACAGCCAGAAGCACAGCTGCATCGAGAGGTAAACAAGCTGCTTGTGCTGCAGGCGCAGTTCCTGCAGTGCAAGCAAGAACAGCAAAAGCAATCTTGATTGCCAACTGTGGAAGTTAACAGTCCTCTGTCCAAATGACACAAGGTTGTCACAATGTATCAATTGCAGGCAAAGCAATAGCGTCTAGAAGCAGCAGCAGGAGAAACAATGAGTTCATCTTCAGGTGCCAGCAGTCTGCAGCCTACAACACCACATCATGAAGACTGCTCACCACATTCTCCTGACACTCCAGAAAGCAATTTCAATGTTGCTCAACAAACCCCAGGCATATCAGCACACCGGGCTCAACCTGCTGCTAGACCTGGTATGCCACCCCAAAGCCATGGGACCCAGTCAGCATCTGCTTCCCCAAGTCCAGCTAGTTGTTCAATGGTGACTGCTACTGCTACTTTGCTGGCTGAAGGAGTTCCTCACACAGCTGCCAATGCACTCCTTTTCTTGAGCTTGCCCAGCAGTGAAGCCTTGAATGCTGCATTAGCTGAAGCCAAAGTCAATGCTGCAATAAATGAGGTGGCAGACAAAGCTGATCGGGAATCCTATGCAGCAAATGCAGCTAGTCCCTCAGCTGTTATGGCTTCCTCCCATCCCACATCACAGGAAGAGACTGAGGCTGAGACCCAAGGAGCCAGTGAATCCTTCCCTGTCACTGAGGCATCTGCTGCCCCTGCTGGCCTGTCCACACCAACATGGAGTGCTCCACCAGCTGGGACCACAATTGTCAATGGTACCACTGCAGCAAACACTGCTGCAGCAAGCACTGCTGCAGCTCCCAAAAAATACTTGGAGAAACAACTGAAGCTGAAGGTCATCCAACAATTCATACATACTGTCATTATTGCATCCACACCACAGTAATGACATGTCTCACTGTAGCCTCCACCACCCCTATTGCCTATCCTTGTCACAGAAGATAATTATGCAAGTGAATCACCTGAGACCAGGTGGATGAACTTGCTGCATTGATTCCATTCTGACGAAGGTGTCCCATATGCCAGGCCATTCATGCATGAAATATTAGACAACACTGAAGAGGTCAAGGACATGATAGTGGGGCCAATGGGTGATGCGGTAAGCTGGCCTACTCCCTCTGCAGTAAACTTATCAGGAACAGTACAACTGGCTGTCACAGCCAGAACATTTGCCCATGAAAAACAAGCAAATGACTGATATGCTTGAGTTTTTTATGACAAGGATTATGACCAGCTTGTTGCTCACCAAATGTGGATGCTGGAGCTTGTGATGTTGGAATGAATGCATAAGTTTGACCCGGCTCTTCAAGGACACAACTGGCAGCCCATCAAGCAAAAAATGGAAGCAATATTAGATTTATTTATCCAATCCAAAGAGATGCACAACTTTGGCAATCGAGCAGAACACTGGGCTGAAAGGGAAGAGGTGGGGCCAATTTTCTATGAGATTGTGTTGGCCTGTGACTTGCTAGGAGCACTGCAGGACTATCCCTGGAGGACATAGCACACCTTGTGACATGGTAGCATATAATACATGTGTTTCCTGTCTCATTCTTCATGGCTGCAGCATGGACACCTAGATACATATGGTGTGCTGCAGTAGGGATGTGCTTGCTTTTATTCTCTTTGAATGATCATAGCTCAGCCATTTATCCATTTGCTGCATCATTCAGCACTGCTGCAGTGCTTGTGTAGATTCTGCACCCAGTTCCCCACAGATGTTGCAGCAGATTAGAATGTTGCAGCATGGCATCTCAGCAGTAAAATCATTCAAGGACACCTTAAGCAGAGTCACCTTGGTGCTGTGTTCAAGAGGATCTGCAGCACCGCATTATGGTGTACTCTGCCCTGCAGCAGTATGTTGCTGTGGAGTAGCCCCTCTTGTGGCAGAAGTATTCATGTCACCTACCAGTCCTGATTTCTTATTGCCCTTTGTTGGGTTGCACACACAGCCAGATTATCTACTCACACATTTTCACTCATCACTGAGTGTGAGAAAACCTGTAAGCAGGAGCCACACTTTGCACTGCAGCACAGTCTAGCATGCTGCAGCACCCCTAGCCATTCGACCAACTGCAATGCAAATATTAAGAACATGTAGTTATTGTGATTCCTTTATGTACTTGTTCTTACAGCATGTTGGCTGCAGTGTATGAACAACAGGAATCTCATGAGCATGGTGTAGCATGCTGAGCATGAGCATTACCCACAGATGCAGCAGGGTGCTTTCAAAGGTGCAGCGCAGACAAATTGATGATGCAGCATACAATTGGTCACAATGATACAAATCCATGTGTCACACTGGCAAAGCAAGGGGGGTCCTAAAGACTTACAACATGTGACAGAACAAAGAGAGTGTGTCTAAACAATGGGGAGGGTGTGGAAGTGCACTACCTTCAGCAGCCCCTGCAGCAGGACATCCAACCAAAGTAAGACCAGGTCTCTCAGGCAGGCAACAGTGCCATGTTGTCTGCAGCAACAGATGGTGTGGGTGACTGTGGAACACTGGCATAGTCCCCACCAGTGTGGTGAACAATCCCCTGGGAGTTGGCAGCTTTGCGGAGGTACTGAATATGAGTTCTTGCCTCTTGTGCACAAGCTTTCTTATGCTGGAAGTACTCTTCAGCTGTGAGAAGCTCAAAGGGCACATCATGCCCAAACTGGAGGCCTGTGCATTTGGACATTAAAACATCAGGTGCTGCAGCCAGGGCAGATGATGCAGCTGCAAGAATGGGCATGTTGTTGATCTGCCAACCCCAGGAGTTTGCCTGAAGACTCCCCCAGCTGTTAGCACTTGAGGTCAGATCAATTTGCTGATAGGGAGGCAGGTCCTGATGTGCATATTGAGGCAGCACCCATTCCTCTGCCTCCAACCCTTCTGCTGCATGGTCAGCAGCATCTTCAGCTGTGGTATCAGAAGTATGTTTGAAGCAGTGTTCACCTGCGGCAGCAGCAGTATTTGACAGGAATACATTGGGCTGGTATGTGAAAGACAGTTCCCTGGATGGCAGACTGGTGTTAGGGCAACACAGGCTGACTAAGTCTGCTCACCTAAGAGTGCCAAGAGTCTAAGCAGGCAACAAGGAAGTGGAGTAGACCTGATGACTAAGACCTATCTACAGTATAGGTATCTGTGGATGATCCT